CGAGGGCGAGCAGGAGGAGAGCGACGAGGAGGAGAGCGACGAGGAGGAGGACGACGACGACGAGGAAGAGGACGACGACGACGACAACGGCAAGCGGCAGCGCGGCGCGGGCGGTGCCGCCAAGGCGGCCAAGGGGGCCAAGGGCTCCAAGGCGGTGGCCAAGGCCGGCGCCAAGGGCGCCAAGGCGGCAGCAACGGGCAACAGGGCCAAGGCCAAGGCGGTGGCCAAGGACGCGCCCACGAAGGGCGGCGCCAAGGGCGAAGACGTCGAGATGGTTGTCATGCCTGGCAATGGCGGCAAGGGCGGCAAGGGCGGCGCGGGCAAGGGCGACGCCAAGAAGAAGAAGATGCCGGCGAAGAAGGGCAGCGGCGGCGGCGGCGGCGGCGGCGGCGGGGACGACGACGACGAGGATGAGGAGGGCGAGGAGGGCGAGGGCGGCGGCGGCGGCGGCGACGACGACGAGCTCGAGGCCAAGAACGTGCGAGCGCAGCGGGCCAAGGAGCGGCGCGAGAAGCTTGAGCGGGTCGCGCAAAAGTCGACGCTGCACCGCTTGCACTGGTTCCGGATCATTCTCGACGAGGCGCTGCCGAGCACCTTTCCACGCCGCGGGTCTTTCTCGGCGGTTGAGCGTGTGTCTCTGGCCATAGGCGCACGCCATCAAGGACCGGCGCTGCTCGACCGCACAGAGCATGATGGCGCTACACGCACAGCACCGCTGGTGCCTCTCGGGCACGCCGCTGCAGAACCGCGTCGGCGAGCTCTACTCGCTGGTCGCGTTCCTCCGGCTCGAGCCGCACGCCTACTACTTTTGCAAGGCGCCCGGCTGCAACTGCAAGTGCCGCGAGTACCGGTTCGACGCCAACTACTCCAAGTGCGAGTACTGCGGCCACGGGCCGGTGCAGCACTACTCGCGCTTCAACCGCGACGTCGTCAACCCGATCCGCAAGTATGGCTACATCGGCGCCGGCCGCAACGCGTTTGTGACGCTCAAGCGCGAGGTGTTCGACAAGAGCCTGCTGCGGCGCACCAAGGAGGGGCGCGCGCAGGAGATGGTTCTCCCGCCCAAGCTCATCACGCTCGAGGCCAACTTCCTCGACGACACGGAGATGGACTTTTACCAGGCCATCTACACGCAGTCGCAGGCCGAGTTTGGCGCCTACGTCCAGGCCGGCACCCTGCTCAACAACTACGCGCACATCTTCGACCTGCTGACGCGGCTCCGCCAGTCGGTCGACCACCCGTACCTCGTGATGCACTCCAAGCGCGCCATCGAGGAGGGGGGCGGCGGGGCGGCGGCCACGCCGTCGGCACCCATCTGCAACCTCTGCTACGAGGACGCCACCGACCCGGTCGCGTCGAGCCCGTGCGGCCACGCCTTCTGCCGCGAGTGCATCCGGCAGTACGTCGACAGCTGCCCGGCGGGCGCGCCGCTCACGTGCGCCTCCTGCTCGCTGCCTCTGTCCGTCGACCTCAACGACGCCCCGCCCGCCGCCGGCTCCCCCGAGGCGGACGGCGCCAGCCGCGCGCGCCGCGGCATCACGCCAGAGGAGCCGCTCACGCAGGGCGGCGGCGGCGGCGGCGGCGGCGGCGGCGGCGTGCGGCTCAAGGGCATCCTCGGCCGGCTGGACATGGCCCAGTTCCGCTCGAGCACGAAGATGGAGGCGCTGATGGAGGAGCTGCACGCGATGAGCGAGGCTGACCCGGCGGCCAAGGCGATCGTCTTTTCGCAGTTCGTCTCGTTCCTCGACTTGCTCGAGTACCGGATCCAGCGCGCGGGCATCAAGGTGGTCAAGCTCAACGGCGGGATGAGCGTCGCGGCGCGCGAGGGGGTACTCAACTCCTTCAAGGACGACTTCGGCACAAAGGTGATCCTCATCTCCCTCAAGGCGGGCGGCGTCGCCCTCAACCTGACCGTCGCGTCCCACATCTACCTGATGGACCCGTGGTGGAACCCTGCCGCCGAGTACCAAGCCATCGACCGCGCCCACCGCCTCGGCCAACACAAGCCCATCCGCGCGGTGCGCCATCGCCACTGCCAACCCCCTGCGGCCCACCGCAGCTGCCCCCCACCCACCCCACCCACCCTCCACCCACCCACCACCGCCCACCACCCACCCCCAAAACCCCCCGCGCCACCAGCGCCACCCTCGCCCGCGCTTTGCAGGTTCGGTTTGTCGTGCGCAACACCGTGGAGGAGCGCATCATTCGCCTGCAGGACAAGAAGCGGCTCGTCTTCGAGGGCACCGTCGGCGGAGACATCGGCTCGCTCTCGCAGCTCTCGGAGGACGACTTGCGCTTCCTGTTCCAAAACTGACGCCGGCCGGCGCGAGACGTGGCGACGTCGGCCGCGGTGACGGATTCGGGGGTGGGGGTAGCGCATGCTGGGCGCGAGCCTTGTGCATGCTGTGCAAGCTGGGCTTGCGCAAAAGTACACTCTGGCGAATTAGAGAGATTTGGAGTACGTGGGGGGAGCGAGAGCGCGCTGCGTGAGTCAGAGTCTACTCTGAGTAATTGTAACTGACGAGTTTGAGGAGTTTGATTGAGCTCCGCCGACGGGTTGGTCCCACGAATTCCCCGCCGTTTGGCGAGGCGAACTGCTCATGCCGATGTTTGATCATGTTTCATGAGGTTACCGACACACTGCACTCTCTCAGGTGCGCTCCTCCGCTCGGGTTAGGGGTTTCATCCGGCGACGCAGACTTTTATTTCCACACGCGCTTTGCGCATTCAGAGCAATTCAGAGCTACTGCCAAAGAAAACAACTCGAGCAACTATGCGCCGATCAGCGCTCACATGCGCTCTGAGCCTCTGTCCCGCAGCGGCGCACCGCCGGAGGCGGAGCGGTTGAGAGAGGATCTGAGCGGTGTGTGGCGTCTTAAGCGCGCGCCTCGCTCGAGGCCACAACTACGTACGACGAGTCAGAGATACGACTCCGGGCCCGGCTTTGCGTCCATCAAAACCACCGCCGCGACGACGGCGTACGCGCCGACGGCCCTCGGCCGGCATAGGCGTCCTGTGCCGACGAGGAGTAGTCGCCGAGGTTGCGCGGGTCGACGAAGCGGCGGGCCTCGTCGGGGTCCATCCCCACGCGGCCGCCGCCCCCCGTCCCCGGCCGCGGCGCCTAGTTTCACAGAACTTGTTGTTGAGAAGAAAATGCCTGCTATGGCGCGCGCTACGCTCTAGTCTACGAGAGGTTGAGGTGCGGAGCC